CGCTGCACAGAAATCGAATAGGAATGCTTATAAATTTTAGYTGTACACCTCCGCCTCCGCCCCACCGCCACCTCATCCCCCTACGCTACGAATGGATTGCCAAACGAGACACTATAATAAACCCAAAGATGATTCAAAGGCGATTATTATTTACTATTTATTTAATTGTAATTTGTAATGATCTAATATTCTAATCCCATTGTACCTTAATCATAATCATATCTAATCCCTAATTATAATATTATGTCACATAGGTATTTGTTTCAAAGATTTAYCTATATTAATTTGAAAATGAGAATGTTTTGTGTGAAGGAAAAACTTTTAGACCATCTATATAAAATCGTTTTGATAATGATGCGATAATTTAAGAAAAACCACGATGTACGATTAAAAGACCACGTCAAGGATGACGAGTAATTTAATTTACAACTGCTGTTTGACGGGCTTTCTGATGTCGACCGCATTTTCTCACACTTCGACGACGGTATAATAACAACTGTATAGATTCTATAATTATTATTTCTCTCCAATAGGTATAGTCGAGATTGTTGGATGTCGATTTCCGGTGGGAACGCGTACAACATTATGGACGAATTAAACATTAAAACGAAACTAAAATGAATAAATACAAGAAAAATGAATACCAACATGAAATAACTATATTATATACCGAACCTATATATMATTTAATTTTAACATTAAACGATAATCGTTTTTGTGAAAAGTTGCATGCGATTGAAATTCACATCACAATATGTATTAGGTAAGTACACGGAGTATATGTACGGTACATTTTTAATAGTTTTTATAGAAATACACACATAATACATATTAAATATCTATACGTTTTCTACTTATACCTGCATATGTCTCTGCCTTCAGGGAARTAGCGGTAAAAACTAAAAATTAAATTTAAAAAAGAAAGAAACTGGCCCGAGGTCGAGGGTGGTATAAGTATATAATATATATTATAAGTACAAAAAAAAAAAAAAAAAATTTGAGAACCGTTTTTCTTTTATTTCGTTTTCGTATCTCCAAAGATTATCCCGAGTTAGCTTGCGGTCTTTACACACACGCGCGTATCTTTTTATGTGCCTATAAASGCGGCGAAAACGTGAATATTTATCCCCAAAACAGTGWTGGTAGTGGTAGCGGTAGTGGTGGTGGTGTATATTATAGGTACCACCGTGGGCGCGTAATCAAAATGTCATTAGCGAGATTACCCGGGGGCCCCCGAACCCTCTACGAAGCCGACGTTTTTAATACGCAACGATTCAGACGCGCGTGCATTGTACGAGAACATCGGCGCTGCTGCTGCTACCACCTCCCCTCGACGACGGTTCGAATGCGGCTCGCGGGGGTGGTTTTTATACGTCCGGGGTAAATCCGACCACCTTCCTTCAGGTTTCAATGGTGTGCGTGTGTCTATATTATATAGTATGATACCTTAGTRGTAGTAGTAATAATAATAATAAACGGGAATCGATGCCAACAATATATCTCGACAYATTAGAAAACTCGGGGGGCTGTTTGGTTTCATAATAAAGCGTACTTCTATATATACGGCGGCGGTAGGTCGAAGAGTCATTTGCGTTAATATTACCGATTGGTGGGTGKGGGATGGATGAGATGGATACATACAACAATACGGTAGTTATATATACGAACCTATAACCGTTTTTAACCTTTACGAGGAGGTGAAATGCCGAATTTACGCGAGCGCAGGTGTCGCGACAGATATCCGATTCGTAAAATGTTATATTATTATTATGAGCTGCATTAAAATAATGATAATAATACGTATAGACGAATGGCCGACRTCAGATGAGAACTATATCACGAGTGCATAATATATTGTATAATAGCATAGACGGTAAGAGTTTAAATTTTAAAATGTATGAGCCGCGTATATCGCCACAACAGCGGTTTTACGATTTTTTTTTTTTATTAAAACACAAATCGATAAAATATAATACAATATTTCATAAGTGTACGTATATTAAATCATTTATATCATGACAATAAAAAATATAAATAGATTTATTACTAGTAATGCGTACAATTTTATTGTGCACAAATTATTACCTGGGGAATTATAAAACTTAAATTTATGTACGTAAGCATACATCGTATTTTTAATATCTTTTTCTAATTAATTTATGGAAATAGATTTATAGAATGGATTAAAAACTAGCCGTGAGGCTTTTAATTATTTCCATTWAATCTATATGCAATAAATAACCTTATTATGTTATTTCACAATATTCGACAATTATATAATTACATCATAATTATTATTTGTCAGTGGTAATTTTTTTGAATATTACTAGGGAGGTACAGGAGCAAAACTCTGAGTTAATATAACTTAAATAGGTAGATAAATAATGTTATTATAATAACATGTTATGGCTTATATAGTAGATAGTAAACTGTACACTGGAACGTTAGATTATGTTGGTAAAGATCTTATTTTTTAAATATCCTACTAAACACTGCAATGTTTACGATTTTATTAGATGCATTAAATTGTTAGTTGTTAYTTTTACTATGTACGTTAAACGCGTAATAAAGTCATTCAATCTCGACACGGTAGAAAAGGCGCAAAACAAAAACTCGCGTAACCGATCAAAAATCAACGGACGTTTAAAGCTCGAAACATACCCGTGCACATTTTATAATGGTTGACGGTGAACAACAGTATTGCGAATCTGTTTCCAACAATAAAATGTGATGGCACAGTGTTGTTTAACAACATTATAGCGCAATACCCAAGGGGAGAGGAGAGTGTCGGGTTGTCTCGTTGTCAAGATTTAGATTATGATTTTGATGATGCTGAATTGGGCAAACTTAAAATTTAACTAAAAAAAAATTAAAATTTTAATAAAGTTAAAACTATTTAACTATATATATATATATACATTCTTTAACCGTAGTAATAACTCCAGATATTAACTGATTAGTTCAGTGTACAATAATTTATAGCACTGTTTACCACTCGTATAGTAAAAAATATAGGGAGAAGAATAAATTTTCACGGTTGACGAATAACAATAATAATATATTAAATCATTTATACATACACTGATGGCAAAACCGGATTAAAATTTTTGCCTGTCAGTATAGTGTGTTGCGGAACGATGGCGGTATCGGTGGTGGTGGCGGAGGAACGAGAAAAAATCCTAAAAGAAAAAATCCCACGGAATACGGATGCGTTTTTGCGCGGTTTTCTTCTGCTGCGGTGCTCGACCCGGCCGAGCTGTCGGCGGCGCGCGCGCATTCGGTTTGACGGGCGCGTACGCGACATGCAATATGCATGAGACGACGGCAGACCGGTTGCTGTCGCTGCAGCGGAGGCGGTGGTTKTCGTCGTCGTCGTTGTTGTTGTTGTCGTCGAGCTTAATTACGGCGAACAGTTAAAACGAAAAAAAAAACCGAATGAAAAACATAATATTTTATTTCCGACCAATCAGACGATGCTAGCGTACCGGCCAATGGGGTGTAGACGATTGACGAATACGACACGAAGTGTGTATATTTATGTATATATACTATTATATACCTATTATGGAAAAATCTTCATTGTACTTTGAARGAATAGAAAACTCGTAAATGTGCTATCGAATTCTGCACAAACGAGTCTAATCTTAGCGTAACATCCTGTACAGTGGCGCAACCAAGGGGGGTGTTTTGTGTGTCTGGACATCCCCCTTGAACCGTATAATAGGAAATTTATATTTAATTATATTCAATAACCATTGAAAAAAAATTTTCAATCTTTTTTWATATCTAAATCTAGTGTTATAATTTATAACTGATAAATGTTACTAAGTCTTTTGTCCATAATTTATCGGCAATTACTAAAATTATATGTAACTTTAATCTAAACATACGTGTCACGTACTCACGTGATATAAATTGTTTAGTTAATAAAACGTTGGACGTCAGTAGTGTATTCAGAAATAATTATGATGGTGGTTTGATTCAAATTGTTTAAATAAAATAATATAATAGGTAAATATTTAATAGTAGTCGTGACGACTGTCACTTATTGTACATAGTATACTAACAAATTTGGAAATTAATTGGGGAAATACTGTATACGCTACTGGCGGACACCCCCCTTGAAAAAAACCTAGTCGCGCCACTGACCCTGTATAATGTTACGCTAATCAGTGTTTCCCATTCTAAGAGTCGTTCTTGTTATTTGTGGAGAGATTTTACACATGGAAGCAACCACCAACCGGCAACAGACCAAGCAAAACACGAATATTTAATTAAACTTAAAACGTAAAAMAGTTCAATACGATGCTTTTAATCTCAAATAAAGCGTCTTACCTACCTACAATCAAATCGTACTGATAAGAGCCGATACTCTAGTGACAGAGCGTTACATTTGTGTTAAATAGGTTGTTGTTGTAAAACAACGTGTTGTTATAAAACAACGTAATGTAAAATAATGACTATTTTTTCTCAAATGTTCAGATTATTTATTTTAATTCAAAAATTCGAATAATGAACACTTCTGATTTGGTTTTATTTTCATTGAAGCAATAGAATGCAGCAATCTATGCAATGTCAATATTTTTTATTTTTTTTATCTTAACTAATTATTTTACGTATACCAACCTGCAGTATAACCAAAAAAGTCATCTATATTTTTATTTGATTAATTGATGGGGAGTGAGGTTTTTGAAAATATACAAGGAGGAGTCTATCACAATAAAGCTTAAGAAACACTGTACGTACACACAGTACGCTGCAGTGTATAAATATATACCTACTAGTGGTCGTAGTGTTGAAGTATTATATTTTGCAGTAGATACACTGCTTAGCTGCTATGCATAAATAATTTTATTTTCGCCAACAAGCACGCATTTTTACTGCAGGGTATTATGACGTGTGTGTGTGTGTTAATATAATTTAATCATCGTGACGGTTATTTATCGTGATATTATAATATATCTATATATAATACGGCACGGCGGCCACGTTGTTCTTACCCGTTGATCGAAGTCTTCGTCATGAACACGTTCAGCACGGATGACACCATCGATTTCCACACTTGCGCCAACAGCCTGTCGCTCTGCTCGATCGAATCGTTCAAGAACCGTTCGGTTTCCGCGTCCGCATGCATCTGCACAAAATTCAAAAACACCTCGTTGTCCAATTTGGATTTGTCCACAGAGTACCACTATAAAYAGAAACAAAAAAACGACTCGTGTTACTGTAATTTAACATATAGGCATTAGATATATTAYGTGTATGGGTGTATCATTATAGTCGAGACTATATACGGTTTGACCTGGCTTGGGGGGATATTGAGATGGTTATTATAATAATATATCCTTTAAATAAACAAGAATTTTTTTTATGATATCCACTGTACCGCCTCACAATAGCAAAAAATATATTCTAAAAACGTGTAATTATGATAAATTTATATAAATAATAAAAAACGGGGAAAAAATGGCTTTTCAAAATTAATACGCACATATCATGACTGCTATATATGCTCGTGTAGTAATTATATATTATAATGGTATTTACCATTTCCTTATTTTCTGTTGGAACTCGGGGTAGTTACATAATACATTAATAATAGCTGAAACGATAAAATGTATACAAGCTGGACTGTTTAATGGGGATGACGACAAGCCATTTGTTACGACTACCGATCATATTATTATGTCCATTGTAATCTACTGTCACGTATAATACGACTAATTAGACTACGGCGTGTGTTTAATTATACACGAAACAACACATGGCGAATAAAAACGTATACCGATGTATTCATATTTTGTATATTATTTGTTTCCAGGTTTACCCCTCTTCTTCTCAGTCTATTGTTTAACACCTAACTCTGGTTTACAAAAAAAAAACCTGTGCTCAAGTGGACAAAGATGAAAAGACCATTTTTTTGTWAAACGATACTGTCGTATTTGTTTTTAATGCAAATGTAATCTTTAATTATATATCTTACCATTCTTATTCCGAACTAAAATTACATTGTTCCGGGTATTTGTTTCGTAATTTTAGTCAAATTAAAAATAATAAAATTATGTTTAGGATCACAACAGTACTGTGTATGAATTTTCATTAAATAAACGTATTTTGATTTCTTTTTAAATTTATAATTTTCAACCAATGACCTACGTTCTATATATCCAAAGTGAATAAATATAGAAAAATATAGCAAATGTACTATAATATTATGTTATAATAWAATAATATACACGATAGATTTGTATAAATTATTAGCTCGTTCGTATATTTTATTATTATTAAAATAATATGTAAACACATAAAATGTTTGTTTAAAATTCAATACGAGTTTTTGGATTAAGATTTATGACAATATCTAAACAGCGTTCTTAATTCAAAATTATTTTACAATAAACATATAAAATCAAATTGAAATATTTTAACTGTAAACAATACGTGATGTAAATAATGAAAGCACAAATAACATYGTTAGTTAGATAACCTTATATATTGTGCGTAGTGTTATAAAAACAAACATAAAATAATTAAAATATTTTTCCAATTAAAAACAATATAACCACAAACCCTYATCAGATATGTATGCTTTCGTTATCGATACGCAACACCACTGAAGCAGGAGAAGGATGATTATTTGACACTCATGATGACTAGTGACAAAACACCACATGAATACTCGAATATTATAACTTATTCCTGTAGGTTTTATGTTGTCTGCTGAGTTATAGGAAATCATTTTTCAAATATTTACGAGTATGGGGGGTTCGTATATGATTAACTGACCCGATGAATCACCCTATACAAGGTAAATATTTCCTAAAACTCGCGAGTCCTATTTTGCAGTATAGTAATGCCAGTGGCCTGGCCTTTATCCAAATACTCTCATACATATATACATACAATCTAAATGTCACTTAAAGCKGGTAAGGGTTAATCATGATGTGTTGGCACGTATAAGGCCAAAGAATTTTTACGATGTCCATAAACCATTCAGATGGACAATATAATAATATAATACCATTAATATGATGCCCTCGATATACAATAATAATAATAATAATAATGATAATTTATTAGCAATATCTGTGGTGAACGTTAAAAATGGAGGTGATCTCGCGGCCATATTGAAAATTAACTTTTTAATTCCCCCCCCCTAAAAAGTACACTATTATTTCGAAATCGAGACCCGTTGAATAGAGAGATCACAGAACAAAATACAAGTATAATATTGTATAGTGTTCACCAAGTAAAATTTTAAATAAGAGGATAATATCACACTTAGGTCCCAGATACTCAGTTGATGTATGATACTCAAAAATTAAGGTTCTTCCTAGAAACGCATGGAAAACAATTAAATACATCTGTTGCATATACGAACAATGTCTAACATGTTATTATGTAGAGTTGGCTCGGTATATAYGGAGTATAAAGGCAGGGAATTTTAATTATAAATCAAACTTTAGAACATGGACGAAACGAGAAGTTTATTATTTATTCAGTGGCGCAGAACTATAGGGGAGAAAGGTAAAAACCCTATATCAACTTTAATACGAATTATTATTAGTTTTAATAATTGATCGGCCAGCAGGCATCATATTATGTAACATGTGGGAAATATGACCAGCGGTTGCTTAAACATTTAATTTTCCGAGGAAAACATCGAGTCGACGACAAATGAAAAAGATATAACACACAAACACACATACACTCAAAATATTATATATACCTACACTCTCATTAATGTCAGTCAGTCAATCAGTCTTGAACTCGTTAGGGGCAAATAATAATTGTTACCTGCACAACATTATTGGCAATAAATTAATATTTCATATACATCTATATATTTATAATAATACAACTTTATGCCAAAACAACAACCATCAACAATAAATATTAATGGCACCTAAAACGGCTAAAACAGTGAATTATTATATAACTGTATGAGAGTGAATTGGAATTTTAAATTATAATTTCCATTGCTCTAAAATATTCTACAATCTGATGGAATAGTTTCAAAAATTTTAATCATAAATTAGTAAATTTGAAAGCTATAAGTTATTTATATTCGAACAATTTATTTAGAAATAGATTAAAACTGTGATAACGAGTACCTACTTAAACACAAATATATATCAGAATTATGTACTTTAATTTTAGATTAAAATTTGAGAATGAGAGCAAAAATTATAAAGATTTCATAAAATATTTTTTGCAAAAGTTTAAATAATGTTTTTATTCATTTATACTTTTATCCCAATATTAAGGTAAGTAGACAATAAATATGCGATAAAATAAAATAAAACATAAATAAAGGAACYTACATTTATCAGAAACTATTATTTTATAATGTATCATTATAAAATTAATWAGGTAAATATTTTTGTTAAATTCACAATTTGTATGAAAAATAATTAATAAATAAAATAAAAGTTTCCTACATTATCGTTCACTGCCAAAACTTCAGTGAAGCTAGGAAACACTTCGACATCCCCGACAGCCTGTATGAAGCAATTAAGCAACTGGTCCATATTCCAACTACCATAGTATAATCTTTTATTTAAAAAATATCAATTTGTATAACAAAATGTAAATTGTAAATATGTAAAATTTTTGTAAAAAACTAAAAAAAAAAAGTTTCCTATATAATCTTATAATTACCTTATTTTCTTGCAAGCATATTATTGCTATAAAATACTCAAAATATAATATTTATCAAAAACCTATAACATTTTAATAGAATATGATAGTAGATTAAAATAAATAATTTTAAATTAAAATAAAATGTCATTAACCAATTTACTTATACATACTTCTATTACTTTCAGAAAATTAATAAAACATGCATATAATTTACCACGGCTCCGAGGTAGGCAAAATAGATACAGATAAGTCTAACAATGAATACAGTTGCATGSTCATGAAACACTTAAGGGATTTAACATTAAATCTGGRAATATTTTAAAATATGAAAAMAAAAATTACTTCAAATTATTTTACAGAAATTATATGTCCAATAATAACAATAATTTAGTAATGTACTTATTATGCGTGTGTCATTATATATAGTGATGGTATAAGCAATATGTATATATAACTTTAAATAATACTAGTAGGTATTATAAGTATTCATTATATTTATTTAATAATAAAAATTATTAAAATTAACAGTGATATAGCTAGAATGCCTATTTTGTAAATAACCCTTATTATTAAAGTCTATGACAAATTTATTGTGTAATTAATCATATTATGGCGGTACGGTAATTATCTAAATCTAATTTATAATTGTATTACTTTATACTTTATGAACTAATTATAGAAAAATTATGTTTCTTTCTTCTACGAAAGTAGTTATTATTAAAATTGAAGAAAAGTCATTAGGTATAAACTGACAAACTGAAAAATGRGAAAGTAGTGGTTGATTTTTATATAATCATTGTTGCAATCACCGTTGACCAACAATAAATACTGTTAATCACACCATTATTAGTTAAGCCACATTAAAAGTATAATTCAAAAAAAATAACAATAAAAATATGGTAATTGTAATAATCGTATTTTATTTATAATGTATAACTAACGTCAAACTAAAAACCATGTTTAAACATAATATTTTAAATATTGTTAATATGTTAATAATATTTATAAATTATTATTAATTTAAATGTTTTGTTTCGCAATCTGTAACAATATACAAAATATAAGAGATTGTGAGACCTTAACGAAGAAAAAGAGGTATCACAGAATTAGCATTCCTTGCGCAAAAGGAGACACTTCGATATGAGTTAAATTATTTGTTATATTTTAACTATCAAAATACGATAAATCATTAAATATATATTATTATTATTATTATTATTGTTGTTATTGTAATTATTTATCATCTTAATTATTTATACAATTTATTATATTAAAATATAAATATTTTATAAGATTTTGTTTTTTTTAATTGTACATAATATGCCCTCGGCAACATAGGCCATTAGACTTAAAGTGAAATCATTAATTGCATATTAATTGTTTGGTTACTAAATCTAAGTGTTTTATAAGATTATTGACTACCAATAATGGCTATATCATATTATATTAGTTGAATGCGCTGTAAATATTGATTGTTTGCGACCTGTATGTTACGCCCGTTAACCTATATATTTTTCGAACCATCTAATTTGCTAGGAAATTATATTATATCTATGATAAAAATTATGCACACATTAATTCAGCTCCCTAATTTATAAAAGTGTGTAAATACAAGTAATATATATATATATATATATATATATATTATAAATCGATTTTGATCATTCATAAATTATTACTGTATTGTTCAACGCGTGCATACAAATATTCGCTGGTTTCACACACTTATACAAACAAACACATAGTTTTTTGTAATGATGCTTACACGCGCATACATGCTGCCCAAATGAGCTTATGCAATAGACATGGCGGCTACATTCTCGGCGACACGAGGTCCCCACTAATGAATAATCAAAACTTTATTGTAACCCAAGTATATAAAATATTCTTTGCGGTAGTTTTTTTTTTAATTTAATTTTTTATTTTTCGTGCGTGTTACCTTTTTGGTTGTGTGGCAATGACTTGGCAATGTCGTAAACAATTGAGGGGTGGGGGAGGGAGAACCGAGAAATAGAGGGCGGCCCTTCATTAGTACAATCTTGTTTTTTATGTCATTAACGATGACTTGGGCGAATTTAGAAATAAAAAGAATGGAAATAATAAAAAAAATATAACACATATATATAGGTACAATATACACTTGTACCCACATATGTATATATATATTATTATTATTATTTGTGTATGCGCACGTGTGTGTGTGTGTATTGTATGAGCCGCCGAATCGGAATGAGCGCACAAACGCGTGTTAACGAATGGATCGTATTGTAGATCGTTATTTTCTGAGTGAAAGGAATTATCATGCGTTTTCAATAACACAAACACCAAGAGTATTATTCAATGGACAACATAAAAAAACCGCTTTTCGGTATTTCACTGCGCATTGTTTAATTACCCAGAACACATTGGGAGTACCTTTATGCGTACACACATCGTATATTATACATCACACATTGCGCTCGTATAATATAGTTAATCATCTTTTTGTCGGCATCCGTCCAACCAATTTTACAAGACGGCAATACGGCAGTGAGCAAAAACTACGAAGATATGTGGCTGCCGTTGCAGCACTTAAAGACCGGTTAATTGAAGATAGCATAAATATGAAGTTGAAAAGAAAATATATTAAACGTCATCATCGGTTCTCTGAGTAATCACATTTTATTGTGAATATTCACAAAAATAATTTTCCACCATAACATTTTTTTTAAATTTTTATTATTTTTCATGGAAAACGTCTATCAGATTATTATATATTTTTATAATCATAATATGATTTGATATAGAAAAGAAATTTTCTTGATATTTTAAATATTGAAATGATTTTATCTCAGACTTTACTTTTCTTATGCATATTATTATTTTATTACTATCAGAAAATATCCTACCTAAAATAATATTATAACAGTTAATTTAATTTTCACTTTTTTTTTAATATTAATTATAATGTATGTATTAATAATTACAAATCAACTTTTTTTCTATTAGTTATACGTTATTAAGAGGATCAATATATTTTTGACAAAAATATAGCATGCCATTATAATTTTATTATACTATATTAATTATAGGCAGTATCATTCACCTATAAACTTAATAACGAAGGTACCGCGAAGAATAGGTAATATTAATGAGTGTCCATGTAATAAAATAGCACACAATCTTATAAAGAAAATAATTGATTACGTAATAGCGAAAAATATTAAGTTCGTACACAAAATAATACCTTTTCTTATAACAATATGAAACAATATGGGGTTTCAAATTATATAATTTAAGAAAAAATCAATATTTTTCGTTCAAACATTCAACTTTGTAAAAATTTGAACTTACAAACACTTGTAAAAATTGAAAGTGGCTTTCAAGTACAATCTATKTATATAAAAAAATTTATGAATTTGTAACCAAACAATAATAATTTACATATTTTCTTGTTTAATAGACGAAATTCATCAAAGTCTAAGCTTAAAACGCTTACAAAAAAATGTCACCATGTAATAATATATTTATATTTTTAATTACTGTAAAAAAAAGTTTTATGTATAATGAAGTTTTATGTATACTCAAAATGTTTGACTTTAAATAAATGTAATAAAAAAAATTGGTTAAGTGGGTTTACTCTGCAGTACATTAGGACCTAGAATCATTTGGCTCAATGTAATGGATATGTTAAATTCAATATTAAAATCGTTTATCATCATATACAAACAAGTAACAACTATTCTGAGCGTCAGTCTTTAATACCAAATATGTGTATATTGCTTTAAATTATAAAAGTAATTTATTTCATTAATTGCAATACAAAAAGTTATCATTGTTAAATCAATACATTTTCACTCAGTTCAGAATTTAAAAAATACGATTTCAAATATGAATAAATAACACAAAACAAGTTAAATTATTTCAAAATTATATCACGTCTATAATTTACTAGGATAAATATTTGGTGAAGTATCTAAGGTTATTCCTTGTTAAATTTCAATAAAACAAAATTGATATAAAAACATCCCTTTTTAAGTTAATTTTGTTTTTGTTTTTTACCACCAAATTTTAGGATGGAAGCATTTTCACTAGTGATGACAAACTAAACACAAAAAAATAACTCGTGGTTGTATATTTAACACATTTATCACGCTTCCCAGAAACTAAAATGTAACCAGGCAACTATATATTTACAAAAAAGGTGAATTTATAAGGTTATCATAAAATATATCGACACAGTCGAGTATCCTGTATTTTTAWGAACAATAATTCGTTACTTCCAAAAAAATATATTTTAATTTATGCATAATATACTCATTCAAAAATACTAAAAAAATTTTAATGTCAAATATAAAATAATAGATTAGATTTTGTTGATTTTAAAATATACTTGTCACCGCCCGTATAAATAATCAAACATATATTTTGTAACTAAAAAAGTATTAATTATATTTTACTTTAATAAACACACACACATTTTGAATGAATATAATAATGAATAACCATATTCAGCAAAAATGATTACATCGTAAGAACAATTTCAATGGCGTATTCAAATTATTTTTTAAATGTTGTTCTTAAAATTATTAAAAGATAATAGATAGAAGGTTTCTAAATATTACTTATGTAAATATACATGAATACATATTATGATTTAATTTAGATAGAGAATTTTCATAAAGCTTACTTTGATATCTATTTGTATTCATAACTGTTATTACTTATTAATAATTTGTTTGAAAAATAGCCTTCAAAAAGAAACCAAAACCGAACAAGCCAAAATACTATTACTGCAGTTCTCTCAAATTATACTTGGCGAATGTCCTAATAAGGTCCCCATATTTTATAGGAAACGGTAATGAAACCTTCATTATTTGCCTAAAAGAGAAATACTTATTATAAGACC